CCCTCGGGCTTGGCTCCACCCAGTGGTGTGACAGCACTGCAGGGGGGGGTGTGAGGGAGAGAGACCGAGAGACCACCCAGGAAGAGGGCATCGTCCAGGGTGTGGCTTCCACTGGGAAGGACGTCCCCCTCCCAGCAGATCCCAGGGTCTGTTGGCTGTGGCCTCAGGAGAGGCCGGGATGGGGAGGGCATGCTGCTTCTGAGTCCATGTGGGTGGCAGCCTTGCCACCCAGGACGGAGCTGCGGCTGGTGGCGGACCTTGGGTTGATCTCCTGGACCGTCCTGCGTGACCCTCTCCCCATCTCTCTGGCCTGTGGCCACTCAGGCCCGCTGACAGCGCACACTGCCTGTGGTGTGCTGGACAGGTCACCCGGGCTTCCTGGGTGCAGGTCGGGATGAGCCCCGTGTTCCTCAGCTTGTCATTGCTGGGACCCAAAAGGTCTCTTCAAGGCTCACGGTTTCCGAGGTCCGGTCCATGGCTGGTCAGCTCCCTTGCTCTGGCTCGTGCGTAGCCAGTGAGGGCTCTGCTCCTGACCAGAGGACGGCTGCTCGGCTGGTGGCAGGCAGGAAGCAGAGAGAGAGCAAGAGAAGTGCCAGGGAAGGTCCCCAAGGGCACACTGCTGTCCCCAAGGGCACACGGCCTTCACCAGCCAGACCCCCCGGCCTCAGTCACCGCCCAGGACAGGAGTCCTTCAGGTTACTAACCATCAGAAGGATCGGCCTGCAGGTTAGGCCACAGCCCCCACGTCCCATGGCCGCCCGGGGATGCTCCTGCATTGTCTCCCATGAGCTTGGGGACCTCCCGGTCACCACAGCAGCTCCCAGTGGGAACCCTCATACTTCCATTGAGGTGGAGGACGGACCTGTCCACCCACTGGGGAGGCCTAGGTCCGCACGGGCCCTGCAGGACAAGGCAGTCATGGAGAGAGCGTGTGCCCATCCTGCTATGGACCATGACCTCGGGGACAGGGCCCGGGGAAGAAGCTGGACTCGGAACACCGTGTTGTGGGATTCCACTCACAGGACAGGCCCAGGGGACAGAACAGTGGCTGGGGCTGCCCGGGGCTGGCAGGGGAGGGGAAGGGCAGGTTCTGGGGCATGTTCTGGCGCTGGACGGAGGTGATGGCTGCACAGCTGTAGTGGACTTGAAGCCACCGAGTTGCAAAGCCAACCCACCAACAGGAGGAGACGGGAAAGCGTCTCCCTGGCCGAGGGCCTCCCTCCAGGCTGGGGCATCTACGTGAGCCTCCCGCGCTCTGTGCGTGGGAATGTCCACGGCCGGGACTGTGCGTCTTTCGCACTGAGGACTCCCACCCTGTGAGTTGGGGGGGTATATTAGGCCCCCCTGACAGAGAAGAGCCCTGAGGCTCGGAGAGAAGGTGAGTAAGGTGCCCAGGGGCACACAGCCTGGGCAGCTGGGACGTGGCCGGGCCCACCCGATGCTCAAGACAGTTCTGAACATTTCTGTCGCCACCTGCAATGGGGGCGACTTCCTCCTCTCCCCGTGCTCATCCACAGGCCACCACCTAGAAGCTGCTCTTGTCTAGAGGCAGCCCCGCTCAGCAGGACGCAGGGACTGAGTCAGGGAGGGAACAGGCTGTGCTGAAGTGGCCGCCTCCTGTGCCTTCAAGTCCCCGCCGCCCGGTCAGGGCGCCAGGTTCTGCCTCGCAGCTGGTGATAGCACTGCAGGGCACCCTCTCTGAGCCCTAAACCACCCGAGGGCAGGTCGCTGGTCCCAACAGGGCAGAGCTGCCCCCAGGGGGCGCTCTGGAGACTGGCAGGGTTCTGGGAGCTGACAGCCCCCAGAGCCCAGGACTTCCGGCTTCCTGATGTCCCAGAACTTGACGCCAACAAACATCCCCTGGGGACTGTGGTCTGGAGCGAACCCCGTTTCTTTGTTTGCTCTTTGCAGAGTTACACTGTGGCTCTTCCGGGAAAGCGGCCTCCGCCTGAAGAAGCCGGTTTCCCATCCGGGCGGCCGCTGCCCCGTTCTGCATCGTGGAAAATGAGGGGCAGCTGCAAGGCTGCGGGGTCGCCAAGCCCCTGGGGGACGGAGCGGCGACAGCCTTCCCGGGAGCCTCCCTCGGCACGGCCACCCGCCATGCCACCGCCTCCCTCCTGGCATCGGGCCGTTTGCTGTGGCCGACTCTCCTGGTCACCTCGTATTCACAGGAGGACGTCCTATCATTATTAATTCATGATGATGATGATGATGATGATGATGATGATGATGTGTGCGGGGTCATGCTTTCTGCGAAACTGATTTTAGATGGATAAAAGGAGCATCACAAATGCTGTAGAAAACGGTGTTGGCCCGATGAGGCCCAGATCCTTCCAGCCTCAGAGTGGTCAGAGGGGACCTCAGCCAAGGTTCCCCGGGTCTCAGGAAACCACGCACAGGCACCTTTTAAACAACCCACGCAGCCTCCCGCCCTGCAGCCGCTGGGTCAGAGGCTGCCAAGAGCCTGACCTGGGGCCTCCCCTCCGTCCCTCTGTCCACGGGCCTGGACCCTCAGCAACAACAGACCTGCCGTGTTCATGCTTCCCCCTCAAAAGAGCGAGGCGTGCGGGCGGCCTGACTCTGCGCCCGCAGTCTTCGAGCCTCCACCGGCCAACGTGCCCCGGGGACGTTTCCTCCTTGTGGTTTTAGTGGAAGGAAAAAGTGACCCGTGAACTGCCCCCGGAGGCTCTGGGCGCCGATCTTGAGGCGCTCGAGAGAGATCCTGCCGCGTGACACTTCTCCTGTTAATCATTGATCTCTCTCTCCTCCCCAGGCTCTTCCAAGAGCAGCTGGGGACATTCCGGGCAGGCGCCGCCCTCCCATCCCAGTGGGACACTGTTCACAATGGCTGGTGTCGAGACCCTCGCAGAGCGGACAGGAGGAGGACAGGGCAGGAGTGGAGGTGAGGGTCAGACTCCACCTGGGCAGGATGGGGACCCTGCAGCCAGAGGTGCTCAGAGCCCAGCCCTGTCCCCGAAGAGCCACACGCGCCCAGGGCCCCGGACGTGCCCCTGCCAGGGAGTGGGGCGTGGAGGGGGTGGACTGGGGCCCAGAGGGAGGACTCTTCACAGCCGAGAGGGCACAGAGGCAGGCAGGGAGGAGCCGTCAGAAGACCCAGGCCGCGAGCCAGGGGCGCCAAGGACTGCTGGGCCCCGGGAGCAGAGGGGCAGAGCGGGAGGCTTCTCTGGAGCCCCCGGAGGCACGTGGCCTGCCCCAGGGTCCCAGCAGTCCTCTGGCCTCGGCGTGGGGGAGGGGGACACGCTCTTCAGGTCCAGGCCTGTGGCGGCCACAGGAAGCTCACAGAGGCATGCGACACAGAGCGGATGAGTGAGCTGCTCCCCCTCTGGGCACCCCACTGTCCCCAGAAAGGCCGAGCGGGGGTTGGGAGCTGGAGCAGCGTGTGACGGGGGAAGGCCCGCTGCTTCTGCGCCTTGCCCACGGCGGGGAGGGGGGTTGGACGGCACCCGGGCGTCCTTTAGCACCACTCCGCGGTCCCCTCCCCACGGGCACACTGGTGACTGCACGGTGGCTGCGTGGAGCTGCCCCGCAGTCCTGGCCCTGCTCGGGTGCCCACGGGCCAGCACACACGTCCTCCGCTGCACCGATGAGCTCACTCACTGTGTCAGGGCGCTGTCCTTCCACTTGTCTCTCACTGAACACCGGGCGCCATTCAGCTGCAAGAGGCCCCCTGAGGTCACGTGGCTTCCGTGCCACGTCAACTAAAACGTGGTCACTTAAACCCTCTGGCTCTGGAGAGCTAGGGTACCAGCCCAGAAACAGAAGTGTGCTCGGTGGTGAGGAGTTCCAGCTAACCAAGGGACAGATGTGACTGTGGGGCCCAAACGCCCGCCACTGCACCATGCTGCCTCTCGAGTCACTGTCCCTCCAGCCTCAGGTTTGAGCGTCTCAGGCCACGTCTGCCCCTGTGGTTCGGTTCCGGCCTCCCCTTCTTTCTTCCTTTTATTTTTGGTTGGTGGCCCTGGGAATAGAATGCCAGGCCCTGCACCTGCCAGGCAGGTGCCCTACCACTGAGCCACATCCCCAGCTCACTGCCCCATCTCTCTTCAGCTTTAGAACCCTTGGAGTGCATGACCACTGGCCGAGGACTATTTCCCTGCCTCCCTTGCAGCTAGACATGGCCATGTGATACAGTTCCACCAACTGGGTATAAGCAGAAAGCTGAGTGAAACGTCCTGGCCTTGTCCTTATATACCCTCTACCTGGATGGAATGCAGATGTGCTGGCAGGAGCTGGAGCAGCCAGCCTAGATCTCATGATGGAAACCACATACTGAAGTTGGCAGACCAACAAGATAAAGTAAAAGAGCACCCAGAGTATCCTGTTAGCTTGAACTGCTTAATCGAGGGTGTTTCACAAGAAAGGAACAAAATTCTATATTGTTTAGGCCACTGTTGGTTTGGCCTTTGTTCCAGCAGTCAGAATGTCACTCTCATGAATGTCACTGTCACGTGCCCTGTGGCCCTGGGGCCCAGTCCCTGCCCTCCGAGGGGCTCAGTCCCACTAAATGGAGTGCATGTTGAGCACTGATGCGGCTGAGTGGGCAGGTCCTCCAGGGGCCATGCAAGCGGGCACCACATCAGTGCCCACCTCTTCTCCCGCTGTCTCCAATCCTACCCACGCGTGCCAGGGAAGGCACCGCTCCTGTCCCCTGGGCTCCCCAACCCCTCCTCACCTGTGCCCACCAATGCAGTCTTCTTGAGGCAGCTCTCAGGAAGCCCCAGACCTGCCCGTCTGCACCAAGTGGGCCTGGACATGTCCTTCCCCCAGGCCCGCCCTTCCCTGGTGACTCCCCACAGCTCCCACTGGGCCTGACTCTCTGTCCCCCCCGTCTCCCAGCTCCCCAGCCAGCCGGAGCTCTCCCCAGCACGGCGAGTGGTCTAGGGCTGTGACTGTCACCGAGACTGAATGCCTTGTAAGGACTGAGGGGTGGAGGTGGAGAGGGGAGGGGCACTTCCTCTGCCACCCTGTGGGCCAGGGATGTGGCTGCATGACCAGTCACCCAGCGGGAGCCTGCTGGGGGACTCTGCAGTCAGCACCAGGCGCACCCAGATGACCTTTCTGCTCTGCCTTGTCTGGGGCCACACCTGGGGGACGCCATGCCAGAGGCTGGGGTCATCGGAAGGCTCAGGGTCTCTCTCCTCAGGCAGCTGACGCTCAGTGCCTCGCCGTGCAGGCCTGTCCTTGCAGGTTCTCCGCAGAGGCTGGCTGGGCTTCCTCACAGCATGGCTGCTGGCTCCCCAGGGCCAGCAGGCCCCCACAGCACACCAGGTAGCAGCTGTGCTGTCCCTTAAGATCCATCTTGGAAGTCACGTAATGTCACTTTTCCCCAGCAACACACACACACACACACACACACACACACAAACACACACGGTTTTTCTTCAGTGATCAGGGCTGAATTTTTGTTGTCTGCAGCCAAGAGTCCTGAGCTCCTCCAGTGCTCGACTGAGCCAGGACTGGACTGGACACTCTGTTTGCAGCACTAACTGAGGCATGGAAGCCACCGTCCTCCTCTGCCCCTGGCTGGCGAGAGCACCTGGGCCAGCAGCACCCCGGGTGAGCTCTGCCCTGCCCTGGAAGGCCAGGTCAAGGTCAGTTTTTTGTTTGGTTTAATTTTAAGTAGCCAAAACACTTCCTTCCCACCACGAGGGCAGCATCCATTTTGCAGCATCTGGGAAGTGGCCGGGATCCAGGGAAGGGCCGGGGAGGGGACCAGCCCTCAGGACTGAAACGTTCCTGGCTGGGTCCGGGACGCAGCACAGCCGCGTGGCCAGGCGCGGTGTCATGCCAGGCTCTGACACGCCGGGCGGGCACCGTTTCAATAACCCCGCGAGGGAGGCTCCGTCCCCTAGAACAAAGGAGGAAGCCATGGCTTTCCGGGTCCTCCGGGAAGTCAGGACGCGGACGTGTGGCTTCTGGCTGCAGAATCTGAATTCTTTCAGGCCCAGCTGGAGCCTGGAAGGGCGATCCTCCAGGCGGAGCCCACAGCCCGGGGCTGTGTGGGGCTGGATTCCTGGGGCCCAGGGGCAGGGAGCCACTTGGCCTCCGTTGGGCCGAGGTTCGGCTGCTGGTGGATGGCTGCCGCCCGACTGCCTGCCAGCCTCTCCCTGGCCTGGCTGGGAGACGCGGTGACTCACACTCCCCACTCTGCTGAGCACCCTCCCTGTGCCTGGGGCGCAGGCTGCCGGAGCCCTGTGTAACCAAAGTCAGCAGCGCATGGCCCGAGGGCAGGATCTGGAAAGGAGAGTGAGACGCTCCAGTTGTGAGGACCTGGTCCCTTTGCACAGAGGACCCTGGTGGCCTGAGCCTGTCCAGAGCACCCCACAACCAGAGGTCTGAGTGCCTCCGTGAGGGGGAGACACTGGTCCCAGACACCCCCCCCAGGCTGGCGTTAGCTCTTGCCCCACCCCTGTCCCCTGCAGCCCTCCCAGGGTCTGGCGGTCACCTTTCTATCCTGTGAGCCCTCAAATCTGTTCAGCCAGCCCCGCCTCTGCCCCGTCATGGTCACCAGAGCCTTCGCTCTTGTTGGCCACTCCAAAGCCCTAGCTGCGCAGTGGCTGAGGCCTGCGCTGTGACGCCCCACCCCTGTCTGCTGCCACTTCACGGCGGCCTTCCAAGGCGGGCAGTGTCGCTAGCCGTCCAGCCTGCTGTGGAAGGGTTCGCCCCGTCGTGGTGGCCGGAGCCACCCCTGAGCCAGCACCAGCCCCTGGCAGGGACCCAGCACGGGAAGCGGTGCTCAGGGTCACACTGTGCCGCTGGAGGAGGAGCTGGGGGTGTGTGTGGCCACGGTGTCAGAGCTGCCGGGGTGCCAGGCAGGATGCAGGGCGGTGGGCGTGACAGCGCCCGCCCTCGCCTCCCTGCCAGAGTGGCAGGCAGCCCCTTCTTTTTGCTGCAGCCATGTCGCCTGTCCTCCCCTCAGGAGTGCTGACCTGCAGGGCCCACCACCTGCAGCCGCCTGAAATGCAGGGGAAAGGACGAGGCACCCTCTTGTGCCTCCGCGGAGCACGGGATTTGTGGGAAATCTGTCCCTGGCGCTAGGAAGGCCTCTCCCGGTGCCTTCTGCTCCGTGTCGGAGGGGACAGCCGGCTAAAGCTTCCACTCTGCAGCCCTGCTCAGCGGGCCTCGGTGCTGGACATCATGATGCCCGCGGGGCCTCCCTCCCCTCCCCAGACTGAGCTGAGAAGGCACCCTCCCTGGACCGCAGGTTCAGCCTGAAACCAGAAGGAGGGAGGCTGGCCGTGGTCTTGACCAAGGCCCCCCGTCCCTCCTGCGACTGAGTCCAGGATCCCAGCGACCGTGCTTCCTGCCAGGCCAAGCGGGCAGCGGTCAGTGGTGAAGAACTGGGAGGAGCCGAAGAGTCCCAGCTCCAGACCTCAGGGTGACGGTGGCACTGGGCAGCCCAGGTGGCCTCTGCAGACATCTCCAGGGACCTACCCCTGGTCCCCTAGGCTGGTACCTGGGACCGTGCAGCCCTGGTTCAGGGGAAGGAGACCAGATGCCTCTTTCGACATTGGTTCTAAAACACGTTCCTGTTTCAGAAACACTGGAAAATTATACACCGTGGCCAAGTGTGGGGCTCAGAGGGGACGTTCTGGACGCAGGTTTCAGCTGGAGGGAAGTGGGCTAAGAGAAAAGGCGCCACTCTCCCCAGAAGGGGCCCAGGGCGGGTGCTCGGGCACAGGGAGGGACAGCCAGGAACCCCGGGAAGGCCACAGTGCGGGCACGGGTCCTGGGGTTCTGAGCACCTCGGGTTTTCTTCTTGGTGTTGTTCTGCTTCTGATTTCCTGAGGTTGTACCCGGACAACTAACAAACAGGAGCTGCCAGCATCTTCCCACATCGGCACTTCACACTTTGAGCCTCCCAAGAGCCTACTGGGACAGGAATGCTGGGGATCGCTATTTGCAGATTAGAAGTCTGAGGCTCAGAGAGATGGACCAATTTTCCCAGGGCCACACAGCTATCTCTGGTGCAGCTGGGATCAAACCCTTCATTCTGACCCCAGAACAGAGGTCCCAGCCGCCCCGTGACAGTCGACACCCGAGGGGCTGATTTTTAAGACCACAGGTGAGTTTAACTCAAAGGAGCAAGAGAGCAACCAAGGGAGGCGCTGCTGTTGGTTGTGTTGACCACAGCGCCTGCCCCAGCCCTCACCCCACCCCAGAGACCTAGGGCTGGAGGCAGGACCTCCGGGGAGTCCCGAAGAAGCACCGTGTCTCGTGACCTGAGCACCATGACGGGGCTGGGAAGGCCAGTGGGGAGTGCTGGGCCACCAGCCCTGCCCCCAGGTGTGCCAGGGTGGTGCTCGGCCCCCGGAGGCCTGGGAGGAGCGCCAAGGCCAGGCACCTGGTGCTGCGCGGGGCTGGGTGCCTGGCCTTGGGGCTGGGTCTTGTTTTGTCAGCGTCCTCGGAGGTCACCCTGCAGCATGCCTCTCGGCTGGGAAGCCACGGGAGCTGGGAGCCCCCCACACACAGGGAGGGCAGGGCCACCTCCTGGGGCCGAGCTGACCCTCTCTCTCCAGGAGACCCCAAGAAACCACCCCAAATAAACCAAGAGGCTGCTGGGACACTGAAGCGGGAGCTCAGGGCAGCCCGGGCCCCGGGGAGGAGTCATGGTCCGGGGCACAGCTACCCCAGCAGACTCCTCGAGGCCGGGTACTGCACACCCCACCTGTGCATCGGCAGGACTGTCCCCAAGGCACATATCGGGGAGGCTGAGGCTCGGAAGCGGGTGTCTCGGCCCAGGCAAGAACCCTGTCCAAGATGGGGTCACACCGTGGCTCCTGTGAACTCCCAAGCCTCGGAGGAACCCTTCAGGATCTGATAAAAGTACAGACTTCCCTGTAAAGACATGGTCCCTGGCATTTATGGGTGGAACGTACGGAAACTCAGGGAGTCCCTGTCACCAGACGCTCAGAAGAGCCCCTGCCTGGGGCTGTCCAGTCCTCGGGACCAACACTCCCCACAGGGTTGGGAGGCCCGGCTGCGCCCACGGCCTGGCTGCTGGAAGCTCCTTCGCCAACTCAACCGTGCAGGACCCGTGCTCTGGGGAGGATGGAACCCTTCTGGTTCTAGTGCACCTGCCAGCAGCCCCCTCCTGTTACAGAGGCGGTCCCCCATCTCTGCACCGTGGCAGTCCCTTCCTGCACTCCTCGATGGCGGGAAACACTGAGCACCCAGCACGTGCAGTGCTCCTGCCTGTAATTTCAACCTCACGATGGTGCGGAAGACACCATTCTATTCTGAATTTCCTTTCCCTGGGCCAGGCTGTCTTTTGTCCCCGGGCAGCAGCAGGGAGCCCAGCCTGCCTCAGCTCTGTCACCTGGAGGCTGACAGCCTGTCCACACTCTCTGGTGGACAGTGGTGCTCATTAAATGCACTTTCTGCTTAGGGTGCCTTCCACGTGGGATGGGTTTGCCCGTGTGCCCAGCGTGTCTGTGTTGCCATCAGACACTGGCTTCCCCCCCAGCTAGCAGCCCCCCCCCAGCTAGCAGCCGTGGATCCTCAGGCTGCCTCTCCAGAACGTTTTGATCATGGACCCTCAGAAACTTCCGGAGGACTGCAGGTGAAGTATGTGCACTTATTTTTAGTTTTCAGTTGTAGGTGGACACAATATCTTTATTTTATTCGTGTTTTTATGTGGTGCTGAGGACCGAACCCAGTGCCT